CGATGCAATCAACTGGTTTTCCGTAGATAGAAAACTTTGAATCAATCTGACTGGATGATCTGTTGAACTGTTAAGTGTCTAGAGATGATGTGTGTTGTGAATTGGAGCTATAGAAATAAACAAAAATGGAAATTCGACACTAGGACCAAATCCATTAAGTTTTCACCTCACAGCTGATGATTTCTCTCTCCTTCCATTCCAGTTAAGAGTCTGGTTTTCCTTTAATCTTTTCAAACCCTGGTCAGCAGCATCACCCAGCTGTGTTAGCCTGCACCCGTCCTTTACTCCTGCCTCCATTGCGACGCCCCTTGGCACATGTTGCCTGGATTGAGGCGTTTCTCTCCTCTGGTCTCCCACATGAATCAAATCATAATTTTAAGCTAGTCTAAAACCCTCCTGCCCATCTCCAGATCCACTGGCTCCCAGTCAGGTACCGCCTGGAACTTCCTCGACATCAACACTCTCCATCTCTGCAACAGTTCAGCCTTCTTTCTCAGTCTCCTGCTCGACTGGCCTCTATGGGATTCTGGCTTTTCAGCTGATCTGCCCCCATGCCTCCACTATGCCCTCCCTGCTGACATTACTAGCACTATGTTCTTTGAAATCCTGCTGAACGATGATGTCTTCAAGCAAACATTGTAATTCTGACTCATCTCCGGATTGCTATTATTTTACTCCACTTTTCAATTTTCGTCTTCTCCTTCTAGCTTAATTGCTTTGCTATGTAAGGCAGGTATGTTCAAAGTCGGTCCTCAAGGGGCTGCTGTCCTGCAGGTTTTAGCTTTAGCTCAGCTGATTTCCACTGATGTTTTTTTTTAACATGGTTTTGCTGAACTGCATTCATCCGAATCAGCTGAGCTGAAGCTGGAAGCACCTGCAGGACAGCGGCCCCTCGAGTGCCGACCTTGGACATGCCTGGGTTGGGATGACTTCATAGGTCAGTAAAAATCACTTATCAATGTTATTTTTTCTATTAAATCATGACTTTAGCAGCCTTTAGTTACCCCAGTTTCTTTTTTAAATGACTTTTTGTGCTTTAGCTCACATTAACTGCTGTCCTTGCTCCTTTGAAAATGAAGTTACCTATTAGGCTACTTAACGTATTTCTTCATTGAGTCAAAAAATGGTTCACCAACCACAGATTGCATCTCTATCTTATTATTTAGGATTGATTCTTATCTCTGGATGTTACATCTAAATATTTTTCAAAAATAAGTTCAACACTAGAATGGATGAAGGTAGGAAATCAAATAGTTCCATAATCTGGAATGATTTAGGAGGAAAGGCAGGAATAATTGGACTTTAATGACAATCTGCCCTAATTACTCTAAGAAACACAATTTATAAGTCACTTCTAAGGAGTCTCTGCTTTGCTGCAGCGCAGGAGGGTCTGGCACATGACATAGGTCAGAGTTTTTCTTTTTTACGTCTTTTTTATGGATTAACTCTTCTCTGGATGACGGAT